TTCCAGGTGACACACACGTGGGACTCTGTCCTGGTTTGTCCCCTACATCACGTCCAGCTTTCTAATAGGGCTGCACGATATATCGTTTCAGCATCGATATCGAGATGTGCGCATCCACGATAGTCACATCGCAGGATGTGCGATGTTTAATATACTGATCGTTATATTTATACTGATGGTTTTCTTTGCTCACACACAGACACCATGTCTACACCGGACGCGACAGCAGTACAGAGATAACCATTTTTAAATACATTTAGTAGCAGAGCTACTGCAAGCGATTTTCAATCCATTTATCCTTTGTTGAAACTTCGTCGTCGAGGAGAGCGCAGGTCACGGTTGCTTAGCAATGGCAGACGCCACGAAAGCGCAAGCTCCCGAGTGCTTTGGAAAGAAAGAGAAAGCGGCTCGACTGGCGTTTTCCCACGCTTTTTTAGGTGCGACATGTGAACGGCCCCGTCTGTCTACACTGGACGCGAAAAGCGACCGTTGCCCATCATTTGAACTTTGTGTCAGTACGTCATAAAGAGAACGTTGCATCAGTTTACTGTCGGGGATTTGTCGTGTCGCGCCGCATCCAGTGTAGACAGACAGCATCACTGATTATAATGGGTTCTATTGTATTTTGTCGCGCCGCACCGCATCCAGTGTAGACAGACAGCATCACTGATTATAATGGGTTCTATTGTATTTTGTCGCGCCGCATCCAGTGTCCAGACAGCATCACTGATTATAATGGGTTCTATTGTATTTTGTCGCGCCGCATCCAGTGTCCAGACAGCATCACTGATTATAATGGGTTCTATTGTATTTTGTCGCGCCGCATCCAGTGTCCAGACAGCATCACTGATTATAATGGGTTCTATTGTATTTTGTCGCGCCGCATCCAGTGTCCAGACAGCATCACTGATTATAATGGGTTCTATTGTATTTTGTCGCGCCGCATCCAGTGTCCAGACAGCATCACTGATTATAATGGGTTCTATTGTATTTGAAAAATATATTATTTCATTTGTATCTTTGTTCTGTTATATTTATCTATGCTTGTAATTTGTTTATTTCCTTTATTTCCTTACTCAACTACAAAATCACCCCAATCATTGATTTTTTTTTTCTCCCAAATAAGCTATTCAAGTCATGTGGTGATTTTTGTTCATATCGCAATATATAATGTGAGTTTTTTCCAATATCATGCAGCCCTAGCAAAGAGTGCCAGATCAAGTGGGGACAAAGTGTCAAGAGACATAGGAGCAAGTATGGAGTTCAGAGCTTAAATAAATGCCAATACCATGTTTGAATGGTTCCTTTCTAGTAATGTTTATATTTAGAGAGAAAAAGCGGCAT